ATTCTTTTTGTTTTTTTTTTTTTTTTTTTTTTTTTTTTTGATAGGTCTCACTATGTAGCCCTGGCTAGCCTGGAACTTTGTGTGTAGACCAGATTGGCCTTGAACTCACAAAGAGTCACCTTCTTCTGTCTCCCGAGCCTTGGGATTAAAGGCATGGCTACACACCTGATTCCTGTTTGTCTTTGCTTGTCTGCACATGGGCCTTCCAGTGGGGTGAGAGGGTGACAAACTCTGTCTAAGCTCTAGTCAGGCTGCTGCATCTCCTACACCTAGTCATTGTTTTCCTTGTAAAATCTAGTTTTAGTGAAAAACCCATTAAGTTGGTTTAGCAAGCTCCCTTCTCCCATACTTGATCACCCTCAGTCATCCTCCACAGCCCCGGGTGATGTCTGATCACCTGGCCTGTCTCAACAGGCGTCTTGTCTGATCTGTTTAGACAGCGTCCCCCTACCCCTGATTTTTCTTTCCTCTTAGTCATTTGCCATCCCCAACGCCCACCCAGTTCTGTCTCTTAAGACCACTTGCTCTCACTGCACACTCTACAGCAAGTCTCTGCACCAATAGCTGTAATTCTGACTAAAGTCAGTCTTACATGCTTCAGCAAGTACTATTGAATAACAACAACAACAATAAAAAATTATTATTATTATTATTATTATTATTATTATTATTGGTGTTGGGATCAAATCCAAGACCCTGCGTGTGTGATTAAGTAATTTTTTTAAAAAACAAAGTATTTAAACAAGGTGCTTTTCTCTTTCTAATCCACCCACCTCACATATTCATCATTTGTCAAAAACATTGGTGAAACCAAAGTGGCAGTGGCTCCTTCACCCACAGAGTAACCCTTTCTTTGTTGTTCTTGTCTTGGGTTTGAATTTAGGGCATCCCATACACTAAGTATGCTCCCCCCATACTGTAAAACCATACTTTAGGCCGTATGTCTTTTAAAAAAACATTTCTCTCATCTTCATAGGATGGATGGAACAAGGCAGCTGATGGCTGGGAGGAAGGCAGAATTGACTGAGCCTGCCCTGTCCAGCAAGGAATGGGCACAGACGAAGGTTACCGCTTCCCTCCATAGACGTGGCTGCTCTGTCTCTGTTCAGGGTGCACAGTTGGTGTTGGAGCCCAGACACCTGAAGCTCTGGAACTTCCTTGCCTGTGTTGGCTGTGATTCAGGCACCTGAGAATGTGACTCCTCCCCAGCTCCATGGGAGCCACAAGAGCCGGAAAGAACGGCAGTACTTTCCCAGTAGGTATTTGGAATTCCCAGAGTGGGAAATTCCCATGCCCATAGGCAAAGGTAATTAGGTTTGGGCTCCTGTTTCCGGGGGACAGGTGGGGGGGATGTTGGCTGGCTTTTGTTCCATGGGGTCTTAAGGGCCAGGGGTGTAAAGACTTGGATCTGGACCCAAGACCTTACGCCTCTGGAAGGAAGACATTAGGGGTTGGTTTCCCACCTCCAGAGAGAGACAGATGTGAACTTAATCCCAAGAAAGAAATCATATTTCTCTTTCAAGCAATCTTTATTTCTGACACTGACCCGTAGGGCGATTACAGTCACGGCTCCCGTGGGGAGCAGAGGTTCAGTGATGTAGCGACAGCCTGGTCACCAAATCAGCGTTATTAAGACAATTGGGTTAGATAAATAGTCTGTTTTAAACACAAGCAAAAAGGAGGCAATGAGGCCGGGAGGCCAGGTGGGAATAGCTGATAGCTCAGCTCTGTTTTCACAGAAAACAAGTCAGTCTCATGACAGCTCCCAACGCTGGGTCCTCCAGGACACCCTGGCCTTCCGAATAAATACATTCATCAGCAAATAAATAAATAATAAATAATAAATAAATAACCATCCATAAGTGCAATCATAAATAGAGGGGTGGCTCTGTGAGGGTGGCTGGACACTCAAGAGTCCGCAAACATCCGGAGACAGGAAGGCCTGAGATCTTTGCCAGCAGCCAGAGGTAGCCCAGACCGCCTTCGCAGAGCTCAGAAGTCAACATTTGAGGCTCCAGCGAATTCTGGAAGCCCGTTTGAATCCTTGATAGTGGGTGGTTGGTGAGAACCCCACAGCCCAGGCCGCTATCCCTGCAGCTCGTGTTTCTGAGTGTTATAGTTGCTGAAAATTCTGAGCTCAGAGCCTGACCCTGAGCCATAATTCCCCTTCTAAGTTAGAAGGAGATGATGGACCGGGGCTCTGAAGAATAGACAATAAAGGGGTCAGAGTGGGGACTGGGTAGGGTAGAGATTGGATGGACACTCATCTGCCTCACAGAGCGATGACTCCAAAGTAGACCTGCCCGGATTCTGCAAAATCTAAGTATTTAGGCAGGTTGACCTCGGCACTCAGTCGGTCGCCTTTCTCCAGCTGGAAGACCCCTCCCAGGTAGATGGGCTCGTACCAGGGCTTGAGCTCCGCCCCCTCAGGGGTTTCCTTGGGGCAGGGGCTCTTGATGGCAGACAGGAGGTTGACTTTATCCTCGTAGGAGACAGCAATGCGGCTGACAGTGTGGGTGAGGAGCACGTAGTTGGAGCAGCCTTGGCCCGTGAAGAGAACCTGGGAGTAGACGAGGTACAGCCCATCCGCTGGAATCACCAGCTGGTTGTCTTTGAGAGACATGCCGTTGGCCAGGAGGGCATTGGCACGCTGGCTCAGCCACTCCAGCTGCTCCTCCACTTGGTGGTTTGCTGAGGGAGGGAGAGTTGAGTCAGTGTGACCCTGTTAGCTCACCCTCCACATCCTGAGCCTCAAGTTCTACCCACACTTCACTTCCGGTTCCTGCGCCCTCTGTCTCCCCACATCCCATTGGCGGTGAGGTCCTGAGTACCCCCACTAAGGCCTTGTTTTTGAATCATCTCCCTTTGACTCTATCACTTACTGTCTGCAACTTACTCTCAGCCTGGTTTGACCCCAAAATATCCTGCCCCTTTGTCCCCAAGATGCGCAGGTGGAGCTCTTACCTACAACGTGGGCTACAGGCTTGTCACTCGAATTTTGAGAAGATGACCCTGAACGGGAAAGAAGAAAGGCGAAGATGAGACTCTCAGGCTTTCCCGCAAGCGTCTGTCTACTTGGACATCTATTCCCTTTCCCCCAAAACCAGTGGGTTCTCCCCACTGCTTCCATCCCGAGTCTAACTGCCCCCACCCTAAGTTAAGAGAGGAGCTTTGGGGATACTTACTGAGTGTGAGTGTCTGGGCCATGGAGCCTATGATAGGGTTGTTCGGGAACTTCTGTGTAGGAAGAGAAAGACAAGGTTAGCGGCAGCCAGTAGCTGAGAAGCCCCCAGCTCTCTCTTTGCCCCCCATGTCTGTTTTGTTTTCTTCATTCATTCTCTGTTCATTCATTCGTCCAACCATGCAACGTCTCCCTCTGAAGCTTCTTCTGTGCTGATCCCACATCTCTCTCCTTATCCCTTATCTCTCCTTATCTCCTTATCCCGAGTGCCTCCCTCACCTCTGTCTCACCATCCTTTATCGCCTGCTGGCCATATCCTGCGTCTCTCTCCAGATCCCCACACACCATGCATGATTTTTCATTCATTCGTCCTCCACTGAACACATCCACTGAACACAAGTTTCGTGAACTGGCTGCATGGGTCAGAGGTCCCGTCTCTCTCTGTCTTTCAGAGATTCTCTTTCCGCCATCTCTGCATGGGCTGTCTCTCTATTCTCCACACTACCTGTGCCCATCAGCCCAGCCCGCTCCCTGTGTCTTGCCCTCCTGCCCTGATTCTGCCTGAGGGAGAATAAAGGCTTCCGAGACACTCACCTCTTCCCTTTGGGGGCCGATCACTCCAAAGTTCAGCAGACAGAAGAGGGTGGTGGCCCCTGCCACAAGCAGGAAGGAGAAGAGGCTGAGACATAGGCACCGGCTGGAGTTCTGGGGGCCCCACGCCTTTTTGGGGAGTGCCTCCTCTGCCAGCTCCACGTCGCGGATCATGCTTTCTGTGCTCATGGTGTTCTTTCCAGGAGATGTGGAACCTTGGGCCGGTGTACGAGAGGGACAGGACCTGCCTGGCTGGCTGCTTGCTTTTCTGGGAGCTATTTCCAGGGTGTTCTGGAGTCGCTGTTCTCCCTTCAGGCTGGTCCCTGGTGTCCTCGCTGAGAGAGCTTCTGCAGGCTGGGTGTGCAGACAGCTGCCTTTATAGCCCTTGGGCAAGAGGGCGGGGAAATGCTCTCATTCAACCAGCGGAAAACTTCCTTGGTGGAGAAAACCATGATCTCATGTGGAGGAAGCGGTAGTGGCCCTACACCTTGTGTCTCAGTTTCTTCTCCATCGCGGGGGCAGAGGTTTGGAAAGTTGGGGACACCCAGCCATCAAGGAATCTCCTTCCCCCTCCCTACCAGGATTCTGTGGCAATCTTGGGCCAATCAGTAGCTGCATGTGCAGGACCCTGGGACCCGAAGCCCATTTCCTCTCTGCCCTCTAGTGCTAACAATAGGGAGACCATGCCTGTGTCTGTTTCCCTTTGGTTTCTGGATGGGACTTTCAGGGGGTAGAAGTTGGCAGTGGGGCTGCTTCTGACAAACGGAGTGCACGAGGGGGAGAAATGCCATTGGAGAGGGAAGCCCTCTGGGTTCTTGGGAGGAAGTGGCTGAGGGCCTAGCGGCTCGCTCGCTCGAGAGCAGGGAGTGCGCATGGGCTTTGGGAGGACTGGTGGGAGTAGCGGGGACAAGTATGGGACAGTCCCAGAGGGAGTGAACTCAGCCTTGGGAATTCACGGACCCCACGAGGCAAGCCTAACCCTTCTTCTTTCACTCTGACCATGAGCCTGGTGGTTCCTTTCAGTCTCAGCTTCCAAGGGATTTTGTTTGTTTGTTTTCATAAAGACTTTGCCATATAGCCTTGACGTGTGGCCCCATCTCCTCAGACATCCATGTCCCCCACCCCTCCTGCTTCCAGGGTTCCTTCCAATCCTTATGGCTCCACATCTTCCAATGAACCCTCCCAGACCTGAACACTCTGCCGCCCTCTGGGGTAGCCCTCCAACCTCTCCACACCCCTGGCTTAATCTCCTTTGCTTCTCTGCCAGCTGGTAGGCTGCTGACTCCCACGGATCTACCATGTATCTGGGAGCTGCCGGCTCCTCTATATCTCCTTGTTCTGCCCACAGCCCATGATCCACCTGAGGCTTCTGCCCCTACTCCATTCCTTAACGAGACTGGGAAGAGTCTCCCCCATCCTGAACAGACAGACACGGGCAGACAGAATTTCAGAGAAAAGAGGTTTATTGGATGTCATTGATAGGGCAGATGGCTCCTTGAGGACGTCTAGCCAAGCACCGTGCTTAGAGCCTTGTGTGTCCTTCTGAACCCCTTGGTCACTCACACCTGCTTCTCTCTCCCTTAGATGAGTCCTGACCCGATGCCACCTCACTCTTTGTGTCTGGGATTTAGTTGCCATCCAGTGCCTATTTATTTCCTCTTTCTATTCTCCATAAATAAATAACTTAACCTTTCCCTTCATAAATAGTCTCCCGTTCCCTGTCGCCAGGCACCTCCCCAAATCTGTCCCTCTGTCATAACCAGGTCTCTGCCCACCCAGACCCACAGAGACCCTGCTCTGTGCAGGACCTTCTAGGCAGGCTTGAATCCTCAGCTGAGCATCTGGGGTGGCCCTGGGAGAGCTGTGGTTCCCCTGGGGTGCCTCAGACTCCTTCTGTGAAAGCTCCAGGTGACTTTGTTGGGGAAGGCTTGAGACTGTGGGCATGGGCAAAGGAGAGGTGGCGTGACCCTTAAAATGGTCAGAATGGAAGCTTGGAAACCAACTCCTGGGTTCTTCTAGATTCTACAGAGCGAAAGCTCCAAAGAATACACTGCTGGGGCTGACGTGTAGATGGGCAATGCCATCCGTGTGGGTGGACAGCTGGTCCCCCTTACTGAGCAGGAACACAGCCCCCTGGTACATCGAGCGTACCCATGGTCCTTGTAGCCCCGGATACACGGACTTCTGTGCACTGAGGAGAGGCACATGGAAGGGATACTGGGAGGAAAACAGCTGGACCTCGTGGGCTAGGTAGATGGGAGTAGGCGTGGCCTTGGGGGAGCAGCTTTCCCCAGAGAAGACCACCTGGGAGTAGACGAAGTAGAGGCCACTGGTGGGGACCAGGAGGGAGTTGTTGTGCAAAGAGAAGCCATGTCGGAGGAAGGCACGATCTGTGTTCTCTCTCCAGAGCAGTGAGTTCTGTTTGTTGGGGTATCCTAGAAAAAGTCATAAGGTGTTGGAGGGTCAAGGTCAGAGGTCTTTATCCCTGAGGAATCAGGCACTGGGGTGGTTGGAGGGGGATGGGAATGGGAATGTCTTTAGGGATAAGAGAAGTTGGTATGTGGAGATGGGGTGGTCACGGGCCCCTGGGTGAGAAGGGGGAGAGCCAGGGACTGGACCTCTGGAGGGAGAAGTTTACCAACAAGGTGAGCAGCAGGCTTCAGGATGCCATGGGTGGAATGCTTCTGAGGGGCCTGATGAGCTGTCCTGGCAGAGGAGAAGCGAGCACCCGAGAATCCCTAGGGGAAACAGAGTTGAGAGGGTTCTAAGGCTCCGAGTTGGCTAGGCCACCCCAGCACCCCCATTCTCCTGCTGCCTCACCTGGGCCCCTAGAGGTAGGGCCAGAAGCAGCCCCAGAAGGAAGACAGCGGGGGCGCCAAGCACCCTCAAGAGGTAGAGACGTCCAAGCGGTGTCATGGAGATAACCTGTGGAGACAGTGTGTTGGGGAGGCGGGGCACACAGCGGAAGACAGATCTGACCTCCCAGCTGAGACAGCTACCCCGAGATACAGGGCGACAGACAGAGATGGGGACAAGACACAAGTAGGGAAATCCTGAAGTGAACAGGGTTACAGAGAGAAAGAAAGAGACTGAAAGAGGAAAAGAACCACAGAGAAACCAGATGGGTGACAGGGACAGAGAGCGCGACTGACAGACAACCGAGTTTGACACCACAGGGACAGACCAGAAGTCAAAGCCACAGGGACCAGACCCAATAAGGCTGGGGACCAGGCAGCTGGTACAGGAAGGGCTGGGGCCCAAGTGAAGAGGCAGGATCCCCTGGATCCCGAGGGATGCCTGCTCCTGGTAAGCCCAAGGGAATGGGGAGGAGAGGCTCACCTGCTGTGCGGGGTCCTGGGCGCTGGCGCCTGGGTCCCTTTATAGAGGAAGCGGCAGTGTGGCAGGCAGCGGGCGGGCGGGTTCTAGGTCGGGGCTGGGGCCTGGGGAAGCCCCCAGGGCTTAGAAGACGCTGCTGTTTCAGTCGAAGGCAGGAAAGGCTTAGGCCGCAGGCTAGGGGCTCACACAACTGAGTTCTGGGAAAGGGAGTGGGGTGTGTGGGGGGAACTGTGGGCTACAGGGACTATCAGGGAGCCGGGTCAGGCCTAGGCGTTCCAGAGAAGGGACAGGCAATTCGTGGAGAACGAGGGGGCACAACTGGGCTGCGGCTGGAAGCCGGGTTCCCTGAAGAGCGGTGGTTTGTGACACGCCTGCACCCTTGACTGCACAGTCTTCTCTGCACATTTCCTCTCTATCCTCCGGGTCACATCTGGAGGGCTCTTCGCCACATGTGGCCACTGACACCTTTGCTTTTTTTCAGGTTTGAACCCAGGGTCTCACATAGGCTAGACAAGCCTTTCGCCACTGACACCCCTTCAGGTTCCCCATTTCCTATCTTGTCTCTGGGGGTTCGAGTCACACTTATTCCAGTATATGTATTTTCTGGCCTCTGACAGTTTCATTTCAAAAAGTTCCATTACAGAGCAACCCCCCCCACACACACTCTGGTCTGGGGTATCCTGGTGCTCGCCCCATTACTCTCTACAGCAAGGGTTCTAAATCTGTGGGTGGTGACCCATTCAGCAAACCTCTGTCTTCAAAAATATATACATCATGATTCATAACAGTAGCAAAATTACAGTTATGAAGTACAATAAAAATAATGTTATGGCTGGGGGTCACCACAGCACTAGGAAGGTCGAGAACCACTGCCTAGAGTGTTTGGGGTGGGGGGGCTAATGAGAACCACCACCCTCTCAGCCCACTGTCTGCAGATAGATTTATACAGCCCTAAATAACCCGACCCCAGGCTTCCTTCAGAATTCTACACAGTAGGACGGTAGCCCAGGGTCTTGTCTGAAGCAACACCTGAGGAGCCATTACTTCTGAAGGGCCTGGGATGCAGCTATGGTAGCTTGCCAGGTGTGTGTGTGTGTGTGTCCATCCCCACATTCCCAGAAACAACATTGTTTTTTCTTAAAACAAAACCTTAAAATATTTATTTATTTTGAGGGCTGGAGAAATGGCTTAGCAGTTCAGAGTGCTGGCTGTTTTTCCAGAGGACCAGTGTTCAATTCCAAGCACCCACATGTTGGCTTACTCTGCCTGAACTCCAGTTCATCAGGGGGATCTGACGGCCTCTTCTGGCCTTTGCAGGCCCTACACCCAAGTGGTTCAGAGATGCACGCAGACAAAACTTCCATACACAGCATAACATTTAAAAATACATTTATTTAGTTCATGTATGTGCATGTGAGTGCATAGAAGTGCCACAGACCACATGTGGAGGTCAGAGTACAACTCTTGGGAGTTGGTTTTCTCCTGGGGATTGAGCACAGGTCATTAGGTAAAGGCAGCAGGCACCTTTACCCACAGAGCCATCTTGCTGTCCAACCTTTCTGTCTTTCTTGAAACAATTTCTCCTCCTCCTTCTTATCATTATCTTTTTTTTTTTTTTTTTTCGAGACAGGGTTTCTCTGTGTAGCTTTGGAGCCTATCCTGGCACTCGCTCTGGAGACCAGGCTGGCCTCGAACTCACAGAGATCTGCCTGCCTCTGCCTCCCGAGTGCTGGGATTAAAGGTGTGCGCCACCAACGCCCGGCCTTCTTATCATTATCAATACAGTTGTTTTTTCAAATTTTATCCTTTTTTTGTTTTGTTTTTTGTTTTTTTTCTGGCTGTCCTGGAACTCGCTCTACAGACCAGGCTGGTCTCAAACTCACAGAGATCCCCTGCCTCTGCCTCCCGAGTGCTGGGATTAAAGGCGTGCGCCACCAACGCCCGGCCACATTTTATTCTTTAGAGATTTATTTTATTATGATGATACATGTATATAGGTACACACACACACACACACACACACACACTAGACAGGGTCTAACTACATAGCCCTAGCTGGCCTGCTTCTGTGTAGTCTATCCAGCTTTCTTATGTAAACCCAGAATCACCACCTAGAAGATGGTGCCACCCACAGTGGTCTGGGCCCCCCTAGATCAATTAACAAACCCCCACAGCCAATCCCTCAGCTGAAACTCCCTCTTCAGGTGACTCTCGTCTGCTAAGTATTCAGGTGAAGCCCACTAGGACATTGGTGATGATCACTAGGTGTGTTTCTAGTTTTGTCTGAGGTAAAAACAATGATTAGAAAACGCTTGTGTGCTGGGTGTTGGTTGTGCACCGGTGGCATATGTCTTTAATCCCAGCACTTGGGAGGCAGAGGCAGGCGGATCTCTTTGAGTTCAAGGCCAGCCTGGTCTCCAGAACAAGTTCCAGGATAGGCTCCAAAGCCACAGAGAAACCCTGTCTCAAAAAAACAAAAAGAAAATGCTTGTGCATAAGCCAGTTTCACTCAGCTTGTAAGTCACAGCTTTCCAAAGCAAAGTTTTTAAGGATGATTTATTATTATTATTTTTTGTCATATCTGATGAAATTGAGACGGAGGCCAGCGGCTGGCCACCTCAAATATCACCACTGCTGCCCTCGCTGTCCTGTTTTGTCAGAGTGTTGTAATGGGGGTTGCAGCTGGCAATGGTGGCCGTCAGGCTGGTCACTGGGCACACTGCTGTTCTCAGGCCCATATGGTTGAGTGAGAACATAAGCTGGTCCTGTCTGTTCAGTTTCCTCATGGGCACTCTGACCTGCAGCCCTTCTTTCTCAGAATCAGGCAGGACCCTGCCGAATGAGGCTTGCGACCCAGGACTAGACATTTTCTTAGTGACCAGTTCTTACACAGAAAGGCGTGGGAAGAGCAACACTTCTAGGTCATGGAAAAAGGAGGATTCTAGTCTCTATGACCCACGTTGGTAAAGAGAAATTCCAGTTTCGATGGCTTGCCAAGGGGGAAGATGTGGGCAGGACAGAAGCCTGGATGGGCAGAGACCAGGTGCTGTCTCTTAGGTCTTACACTTATTTTGAAGTTCCCAGCTCAGGCTCCATCCTTTGGGGGCACATGCTGTGAGCTCTCATACAATCGCCTCAGGATCCTCTGCACTCCACAGACACTTGTGCACCTGGCACAAGGAACGGGAGAGACAGTTCCAACAGACGGTTCCCTGACTTCAGGAATCTCAGGTTTACTGGGGTGTAGTTAGGCTTCAGGACCTTGGCAGGGTAGCCCACAGGAAATCCATGAAACCTGGGGGCAATCATTATGGAGGTAAAGAGAGATGGGGAGGGACACTGCAGGTGAGAGCACCCTTGTGAGCTGAGGTGTTCATCTGGGTACATCTGCAAAAGAAATACTTGCAGGTAGGCAGAGAACGCACCCTGCAGGGTTTAAAACCAAGGAAAGAAGCTTAAATCTCATTCTGCTATGATAGAGCCACCAGCAAATTTAAAGAAGGGAGAGACTCACTTATATTGTTACCTTATGAAAGGGAGTCTGAAAGCAGCAGGAAGAGTGGAGGGCCCTGAGGTCACTATGGAGACCATTTTACAATGACCCAGCTGGGGCTGGCAGGAGTCTGCATTTATGTAGAGGGGAAAGTTGCTTCAAGGCAAAACCTACAGTGCTGGTGTCACTGTCCTGACACACTGTCACTGTCCTGACACACTGTCACTGTCCCGACACACTGGAGGAAGGAACACACCAGTGTCTCTTTCAGGCTGGGGATGTGGTTCAGCTGGTAACCTATCTAGTGTGCAGAAAGCCCTGGGTTGGGTCCCCAGCGCCACATGAACTGGGTGTGGTGATGCGAGCCTACAATCCTAAGGCTCCGGAAATGAAGGCAGAAGGGTCAGGAGGAGCTCAGGGTCAGACTTAGCTACATGGATTCCATGAGACACTTTGTAACAAAACAAAGAAAAAACAACAACAAAACCCAGCCCCTGTAACTTCTATGCCTTGTCTCCTTGGTCTCTGGATCCTTGGCAGTGCTGGCAAGGGGACCCACGGCCGAGCGTGCTAGGCAAGCACTCCTCTACTGAGCTACATTCTCTAGAACAGAATTTTAGTCTAGTCATTGTGTCATTGTTGGTTCCTTTTCTGTGTTCCCCTTTCCCTGGGAATCTTTGTGCTTCCTGTCGTTTCTGCCTCTAAAATGGTCATGGCTGACGGACTGGGACCCTGGCCAAGCTGTATTAAAATGGAAAGTGGCAAAACAGTTAAGGAGAGAGAGAGGGTGGTAGGGAGGGAAGGAGGGAAGAGAGAGGGAGGGAGGGAAGGAAAAGAGAGAGAGATTAGATTTGGGTCTGAGAAGAAGGAAATGGAGGACAATGGAAAGGGGAAGGTGAGAGACAGAGGAAGGGTAAGAGGGGCTAAGCTGTGTCACCACAGTTGGCAGCATGCTGAAGGATGTGCCTTGCCGTGGGCCAATTTTGGTTTCAATCTCAGTTTTAGAGGTTGTGTAAAATTCGGTTTCTTTCTTGGGGAGGCCAACAGCTGTTTGGGACTTTCCCCGGGTGGGAGTGCTGATGACTGGGAGTCTTGTGCAGTGTGTACAGAGCTCTCAGAGGAGAGGCCACAGAAATCTCTGGGGCCTCCAAACCAGGCTGAAGTGACAGTAGCCTCGGATTTGTGTTTTTCTGTTTTCAGCCTCAGACTTTATCCAAGTTTAACCTTTACCCAAATCACAATTCAAAATCAACCTCAAATCTAAGCACATTCTTATCAGAGAACTCCGCAAATAAAATCTATCCTGTGAATCTGTTCACCCGTCTCTGGAGCTGTCCAGTCACTAACCCAGACTTCAGCGTGGCACCAGGTCTACATGAGCCAGAAACTGCAGCTGGATCTTGTCCTGCTTTACCACACTGTCCACCAACCTTCAATTAGTATTTCCTGAGCACCAGCTAGGAGCTTTGTTCAAGGCAGGAAGAATACCGTGGCAAAAAAGGTGAGACAAGGGACCCATTCTATTGGGGGCAGTGTTCCCGCCAGGCCTGAAACAGGAGAAAGACATCCAGGAGCTGGGGCCATGGCTCAAAAGTAAAGCACTTGCCTAGCATGTGTGAGGCCCTGCATCCCAACCCG